CGTGCCCCACCTCCAGGCCTGGCTCCAGAGTGGGGCCCCGGTGACCCACGTCCGGGCAAGGGAACACTAGGTCCATTTGTGTTTCTCATCATTGGAGTCTTTGGGCTGCACTTTGTCTGGTCCCTCACCTAGGACCTGTCTGCCATGGGTGACCCTACTAGGGGACAGCATAGCTCCTAGGATCATTGGGACACTCAAACCCCTCCACCACGGTAAGGTGGCAGCCCAGGGAGGGGGCTTCATTAAATAATTAAAGCCAAATATAGGGGGAAGGTTAAAATGCAGAATGTTTAGCATGTCTTTAACATTCAGATAGTAATATTAGACATCAATGCCATAATTAGCAGATGCCATTCTCATGGTTTGAGACATTGTTTTTTTGAGGACAAGAGCGTGAGCTCTATTTGGTTCATTGAAAAGTGTCACATTTCCAGTTGGAACAGATTGTAATCAAATTGAGAAGTATTTAACCAGTGATGAAATCCTTGTTTTACTAAGTTGACATTTATGCCACGTGGCATAAAACATATAAAACAAATAGTGACCCAAAAGTCATTACTGACTACTTCATGGATGCAGTGATTAAAGCTGGGGCTTGCGCTGAAAGACGATTAGTTAAGGACTGAATATGGTGACGCATTATTTTAAAGAACTGAAAATCAGCCTTTTTTTAAGTAACACATGTTGTTCTATCGCCCCTCCTTTCTTTGTCCTTTTCGCGCCACCAAATCCCATAAGCTCCACCTTCTCGATGACGACACGCCTCACAGACCAATAGAAACAAGCGTGGTTTGTTTCAGCCAATCAGAGGACAAATAAGGCCTGCCGAGGAAAACCGGCTCGCGGGAAACAGACCGGAAGCTGCTCAGTTTTTGCCGCGAAACAGACCGTGTGTTCAGCTGTAGAGCCAGTAGTTCAGGTCCACTTTGTGGTTTTGTTTGTCAGAGTTAAAGCAGTTCCTCTCTTGGCTGCAGCATGTCTGGCTTCGACGACCCGGGAGTTTATTACAGCGACAGCTTCGGAGGCGGAGAGGCTCCCGGCGGGGATGAAGGCGGACACAAACGGGTCCAGATCCAGAAACGGTTCCGTGAGTTCCTCCGGCAGTTCAGAGTGGGAACCGACCGGACCGGCTTCACTTATAAATACAGGTGAGTCCAACCGAGAAACATAATTAATCGAATGATCGTCCATTTTATTACGTTTTCTGGGTCAGTTGGGTAAAAAAAAAAAATCGCATTAAATGTCACTTTGAGATGGTAAAATGTTCGTTTGAAGTTCACGTGAATGTTTTCAGGCCTCATAGCCTGAATGTGAACATGATGTGTTCAGCGTGTCTCTTACCAACCAGATTAAATTATCTGCATGAGGTGAGTATCTGATGGAGATCTGTTGACTTCAGCAGGAAGTTTCCTTCCTCCAACTGGAGACAGTTCTGTCCAAGTTTTACACAGAGCTGAAGCTCAAGCAGGAAGGGAAATGGTGTTCAAACCAATAGAAATAAAATACTTTAAATTATTACCAGGATCGAAATGTTAGCTTAAAGAAAAAGTACCTAAACAGCAGCTAAAAGCTTAATGTTAGCTGCCAAAGTGAAAAGTAGCTAACTGCTACCTAAAAGTAGCAAAAGGCTAGCTAAAAATATTGTGGGTAGCTAAAGTCAAAAGTAACCAAAAGGTAACTGGAAACTAAAAGTAAGGAAAGGCTAACTTTAACATAAAT